GGGCTGATGTGAGTTGTGATTCAAAACATCTGGAGGACACCAGGTTGAGGAAAGTTGGCTGTAAAGTAAGCACCTCAGCCTCCATTTTGATGGCTTGAGAAAATAGGCAGGCAAAATTTAATACTCACCCCCTGCCCCCACTGCTCACCTCTGAGGCTTCAGGATATATGGTTCCCAATATGCAGGATGTCTTCTCTCTCTCTACTAAAGATTCAACAAGTCATCAATGGACTGCTTCTCTTGGGATTGCATATTGTCATATTTTCTGTATGTAGTCTGCAATCCTGGAAAAACTGAAAAGTGGCTTGGTTGTTGGAGAGTTCTCTGTTGCTTTGTCGTGGAGTTGGATGGAGGAGGGCCTCATCAGCTGAGCTCGCTACGTCAGGGTTCTTCCCAAACAAAGTCACTGCGTAGGTTTGCCTGATTGTCACAGAGGCTCCGGGCCAGCAAGCTGGGGTTTGTTGGTGGTTGTTCTGTGTTTTATTTACAGAAGTAGAAGCTCTAGTGCAGCCTTCACCAACCTAATGTCCTCCAGATGTGTCGGCGACCCTGGGTGAGGATGATGGGTATTGTAATCTGACACTTTTGGAGGAAAAGGCTGTGGCAGATGCTGCAGAGAGACTTGTTGGCCCACTGCTTCTTGCCCTCATTTCAGCTGCTTCTCCTCCCATATGCAGTTGAGCCAACGGTACCATCAGGAGTAAGGGCCTTCCAGGTTCTGAAAGCTATGCAGTTGCTATGAACTCGGTACTTGATTAGGTAAAGAACTTTGTAAACCATTTTTAAGACCAGCTATATTCCCTAGGTATGAGAAAATCCAGATGATGTGAGTCAGGGTGTTCAAGGGATTGCTAAATAGGCAAAATTATACCTTTTCTCATGAACCTGTTCATGCAGGACTGCCTTTGGAAATGGCCATTCATTTGCAACAAGTAAGCCTTTTTCCTGGGCTTTGATAAATTGAAAGAGGTATTCTTAGATACACGTATACATATACAGGCACATTCAAGCTATCAGTGTGCCAAGAAATATGTTTGAATAGGTAGGCTATTAAAATTTCTAGTGCACAGAAAATGCTGTTTACAAGGCTGTGTGGGAGTATAGAGACTTCTGGACTGAACTGAACACTTTATCAGGTCAAATGAAAAAGTAACTAAGACTCAATCACCACGCATACTTTTTGTGAATGGAAGTCCAGAGTGAATTACTTCTGCAATCCTGCACACAGTTTTGAGGAAGTACCTTTCTCTGAAGAGTAACTTGCTTCTGACTTTCTTCTAAGTAAATATGCCTGGGAGCAGGCTGTAAAATGTTCTAACCAGCATATTATCTAAATGAGAGTTTTTACTATATTTCTTAAATAGTTTAAGAAAGTTTGGAACTGTCTGTCTGAAAACCAAATATTTGAACTGCTCATGACTAGTTTTGCTGCCTTTTGACCTAAGATTTAGCTGCTTTGCCATTCTGGTTGAAGAACTTTGTGTCACTCGCAAGCCTACCTTTGCCCACAGTCATGGTTTTTACCATTTCAATTTTCAGGTAATGCTTTCTTTACTGAAGTGCACTGCAGAGCCCGCAGCACTTTGCAGAGGATGGCGGGGCACATCTTAATTGCAACTTTAAGCACAGGCCAGACTTTTGGCTTTGCACTGCTGCCCGGGATGAATGAAAGCATGACCTGGAATGCACCTAATAATCTTCCATGGATGTAGTGAAAAACCTAGTGTTAGACAGGCTGTCATTCAGAGAAATTTGCCCTCGGTACTCCGTCTCATCACACAGCCTTAGCAATTCCTGCAACACAGTCTAAAAACCACAGTCTCACACCTACAACAGAGGCTGATGCAAGAAAAGCTCTTAACTTTACCCATCTTTTAATCCGTCTGTCAGAGGGGGGTGAGTTTCCAGTGCTCTACCTTTTTACAGCCTGAAGGCATGTAGAAATGTCTTGATGTGAGAATGGTGGAAATAATTCTTCTGTTCCAAGATGAGCTCTTGAAAAGCAACACATGGTTGTATGGAGTTTCTATGTAGAGTTGCTTTACCTGGGAAGACCCTCTTGGGGAGGGTAGCCATTGGATGGTGCCAGTGATATCACAGACTTGCTCCCCGCACTCCTCTGCCCAAACTTCCTGGAGCAGTTTTGCAAGTATTTTTTTAATGTGCTTATTTGAAGAAGAATAGGCATGTAAAGGGTATATAGCCTATTTGAAAAAGCATTCAGTTCCCTGGTATGTATGTCTTTGATGCAGACTGTAAGACCAGGCTCAGTGTTGGCAAAAAGCCTGCTGTGGCTCCTTTTTCATGGTATACCCGTCTTGACCCATGAGGACTAGAAACTTGCTTCTAAAAGTAAAAAAGTTCCAAAATCCAAAACACTGATCTACACACTTGCATTAATACAAACAGTTGTGTTTGCACTCATCAAGTACCACACAGTCATCTAAGTTGATTAAAATTACCAGAATGTTTTTTGTAGAACTTGTATGCAAGAGCAGTGATCAGGAGCCAAGGGAGACTTGTAGTACAAGGCGGATTAATTAATACCCCACCCTTGGTGCCCTGTCACAGAAAATCATTTCTCAGGGTTCAGTTCAGCAGTGCTGGAGGTCATCTGAGAGTTACCTGAAGAGACGCTGGTCAGAGATTCCTCATAGCTGGCAGCAGTTCTATGCAAAATGTTGGTCCCCCCCCCCCACTTGCCCCATTGCACTTGGGATCAGGCTTGAACGTACCATTGATAGCACTGCCAAGGCATTGTGTCGTCCACAATCCAAAGTCAATAGTGTTGGTGCTTGGCATAGCTTCACAGAACCGTTCAGCTCCTTCATTGCTGCTTCTTGCTCACAAATGCCATTTGCCTGTCCTGGGCCATCTGCCTTTGAGGCTAGTGACTTGTCTCAACATGATAGAAGTGCTTGCGCTGCAGCACAGGAAGGAGCGAAGAAGCCAGGTCATAAGTTCCCTGGAAGACTTTCCCCCTCCCCTTCCTACAGGATGCATTTCGCCCATAGGCTGGACCTTAGTATACCTGCATTAGAAATGCAGTGGCTGTTTTACAGCATCAGGGACTGCACCTGCACATGGTGACATTTCAGAAGGGTGCAGCAACACAACTCAGTAGCACCTAATTAAAGGCCACTCTTAAATAGACAAAAAGAGTCTTTTTGAGAGCTTTTTCATAGTTCACACATACAGCAGTTCTACATGCATGGATCGGTTTTATGCTTTCGGGTTCCCCCTTCTTCTGTTCCATAAAAAGCAAAAGATTGAGTATCTTTTGCCTTCTAATGGTCCATAATGCTAGTCAGGCATTATGTAGAAAAGATGAGAGTTAAAAAATACAGGCACTTCTATTATCATGCAAAGACTG